ATTCATTCATTCATTCATTCATTATCTCGTGAGTCTTTCTTTCGTTCATTTTCTTAGCTCAACTCACAACGCAGCCTGTCATTCGACGTAGCGCAAGAACCGAGTTCGACTGCAGGACAAACCCTATAGCGGACGCAGTTGGTTTTTCAATGTATTTATTCATCATTTGGGCGTTTTTTTGGCGTAATTTTTACTTTTAACGCTTTAAGACTACTTGTTCATCTCTTTCTTCATTCCTCACTTCATCCTTAACTCTCACAATCTTTCACACTCTCTCTCTCACCCACCTCTCTCTTTTTATTCTTATCTCCCACCTCAGTTATGATCTCCTGGAAACGTCATCATCGTATTTCAGCAAATAACACTGGTAACCAGGTAATCCAAACTACATCCAAAAACATCATGGCTAGTATATATTTCTTTACTTACACCATAATAAAAAACTAAACATTACCATAATACCCTTTCTATCCTACCTCACTATCTCACTATTTTTATCGACAACGCTTTCCTCTTCATATTTTTTAAATTTTTTTATCTTTATTTATTCTCTCAATCCCAATCTTTCTTTTCTTTTTTTACCCTTTTGCTGTTTCTCTCTCTCTCTCTCTCTCTCTTTCCTTTTTATCTCTATGCATCTCACTATATCAATTTCTGTACGTTTTTCTGTCTCTCTCTCTCTCTCTTTCTCTCTCTGTTTGTTTATTTCTTTGTCTGTATCTCCCTCTCCTCATTCCATTTTTTTCTCTCTTTTTCTCTTTCCCTTCCATGCTTTCTCACTCCTACCCCCTTGCTCTTTTATGTACTCTTAGTTTTTGTTATAGCAAGTAACTTCTTCCTTATCTCTGGTCTACTTCACGCAAAGTTGCAGCAGTGGTACTTGAGGTTATTGTACATAAAATACGATCAACTAACAACTAACAACATACAGTCAGCGACTTAAACGATGAATTAATCAATTAATTAATTGATAAATCACATAATTGGTCATTCAATTTATCAATCAATCAAACGATGAATGAATCAACCCTTCAATAATCAATTAATCAATCATTTCTGAGTTCTTGATGCGTAAAGTTTGTGAACAGCGAAGAAAAAAACACAATAGATAAACTTGTGCCTTGTTGATTCAATATTTCAAATATGCTAAGAACACGTTCTGCTTAGTTTCGTTGGCAATTTTCTTTTTCCTGAAGTATTTCAATCCGGTTGGGGCGGGTTTATTTTCACATTGCAACAGAAACGAAAACTTCCATTTGAATATGTTATAAAAAAAATGTTTAGCCTTCGACTTTTCAATATCAAAACGATACACAATAAATTTTTTTAAATAATTTACTTGCATAATTATCGTGTTTGTGTGTGTGTGTGTGTGTGTGTGTGTGTGTGTGTGTGTGTGTGTGTGTGTGATGGTTTTGTGCTAATTCTCAGTTTAAAAGTTATCCTTTACAAATCAACAAGAAAACAAACTACCAAGTTTACCAAAACAAACATCAACTTCATTTTTCAAATTTCAAATTTCTAAACTAAATTTAAAAAAACAAACATACACCAATATACAAGCGAATTCACAAACATACAATAACATACAAACACACAAACAAACAAACAATAATGCAGACATACATAACCAAAAACACATCGATATATACAATCAGACCAACATTCACATGACCCCATAAATATTTATACAAAAGTATGATCTGACGTTTCATACCAAAACACACCAAAATTAAAAAAAATAAAAAAAAAAATAATATACAAACGCAAGCAAAACACACAAACCAATACAATCATGTATACAATTTATAAAACACATATATTCACTTAATATGTATTTTAAGTATATGTAAATAAAAAGAAGAATATACAATCTAAAATTTACAAATACATACAAAATTGTTGAATACTTAGAGAGTACTACACACACACACACACACACACACACACACACACACACACACACACACACACACACACACACACCACACACATACATACACACACGCACGCACGCACACACACACAAATTTTTAAACAACATCTGTACTAAAAGATTGCCTTGAAGTAATAATGTTTTGCTTGCGATATCACCATCATATGAGTATTGCTGCACACACACACATACACACAAACACACACCACACACACACGCACGCACGCACCACACACACACATACACACTTTTTTTTATATTATTATAGAAACGCATTAACCATAATAATCAAGTAATCAGAAACATTAGAGAATAGTAATGTATAAACGAGTGGTTGAAGTGATGATGTATTTATTTCAATGAGTATTGCTGCACACACACACATACACACAAACACACACGCACGCACGCACCACACACACACATACACACTTTTTCTTATATTATTATAGAAACGCATTAACCATAGTAATCAAGTAATCAGAAACATTAGAGAATAGTAATGTATAAAAGAGTGGTTGAAGTAATGATGTATTTATTTCAATACAATTGTTAGCGAATTTGCTTTGCATGTGTGTGTAGTATATGTATTGGGGAATATTTGAGAATAACTGTGAACTATATTTATATATTTATTCTTTATATATATATATGTGTGTGTGTGTGTTTGTGTCTATGTGTGTGTATGACTTTGTGTGTTTGTCTGTGTGCGTTTGAATTGTACTTACATAGATTCTGAATAGAAGTGCTAATATCGCTGATAGCATTTTAGTTTTTATTGTAAGTTTTTATGTGTATTATGTAAAAACCTGTGTGTTTGTGTGTGTGATTGTGTGTGTGTGTGTGTGTGTGTGTGTGTGTGTGTGTGTGTGTGTGTGTGTGTGTGTGTGTGAGTACTTGATAAGTACTGGTATTAATTTGAGAAGTATTTCGACCGGGCATTAAAGCAGCAGTACCATTTGATTATAAAGTAGTGAGTGTTATAAATTTCTGTTTCTTAGTAGCATTGAGGGTTCTTTTTCAGAATAATTAGTTAATAATTAATATAATTATAATCAATAATTAATTAAAATTATTCTTTGCAGTAAATTACTTCGAGAAAATATTATCTATTCACTCTAGTATATGCTTTTATTTATTGGTGCTATGCCATATCACATCACAGCATATGTTATCTACTAATCAATCAAGTTAGAAACCCAACTACAGCAGCAGAACACACACCAATATAAAGCTCTGCAAATTTTGTTGCCTGTTTGGTGATTAATTATTTTTCTTTGTATTGTTTTTACTTTTTTCGTTTTGTATTTGTTTCTTCATTTTGTTTTGTATGTATTTTGTTTATTAATATATTTATTTATCTAATTAGACGTTCGTTTTATTTTTTTTACTATTATTCATCCAATCGTTACTCCTCTTTCTCTTGATGTACCTTTTGTTTTTTAGTTATTTCTCTCTCTCCCTCTCTTTCTCCCTCTCTTTCTCTTTTTCCCTCTCTCTCTCTCTCACTCGTTCTTTCTCTCATTTCCACTCTATTATGATTTTTCTAATTTCAAATTTTTTTTTTCTCTCTCTCTTTCTCTCTTTCCGTATAATAATTTTCCTTCCCAGCCAACTTCAGCATTTCTTCAAACGAAGGTTATGTCCTGAAAATGTTGCATTTCTTTCTTGCCCCATATAATATTTCCATCTCTGTATATTCCAATATCGATGCCAACGTGAGCTGAAGAGAAAACAACAGGATCATGTAACGAACAGGTGCGTAACCAAGGGGGTTGGGGTGCTAGCCTACACCCAAACGTTAAATTTTGTCAGGGTTAAAGTTAAATTTTATCAAATCTTTATATAAAAGTTATAGCAAAATGGTTGCTGACTCTTTAAAGTAGCTAAATTTGAAAAAATCTCTTGGCTGTAATACGAAGTTTAGTTCAAAGTAAATAAAATATCGTCTGCATTTTGTAATAATTTTGTATTAACTTACTTAATTTCTTTCAAAACAATTTCAGTCTATGCTACTGTTGGTTAATAAAATCGATCAGTTAAACACGACCAAGCTAAATAGAGAATAAATCTTGCTTATTAAATCAAATTTCATTTGATATCTTTGGAGCTGCGATTTTTTTTTATAAAAATTGACGATTTAGAATTGTATGTCCAAACATTTATGAAAGATTACAAATATAAATCTGACCTTTTTGAATGAAGTGTTATTACATACATATCAACATAGCGAAACCCATCCTATTAAATGCTTCAGGCGGTCTGGCGAACGAAATTTCATTGTCACGTTAAATGCCTTAGTTGCCCAATCACGATCATATCTTGGATTTAAATTTTTGCTGATAGAAAAGACTAATTCGTAAAGAACTAGAGAATAAAATAAAAATGAACGATGAAATTATCAAACCGCATCATCAAATTACGTCGTATCATCTAATTATACAACTATCAAATAGTATCAAATGAGTTTCGGATGGTAACTCCTACAGAAATCCACCAATTACACAATGACGCGTATCAAACCAACAGTAAAACCGTTCCTAACAATAGTGTGACGCTTTACAAACAACAACAAATTGTTAGTATCAAAGCAATCATAACTTTGAACAAATGTTACAAACATTTGGCCCGGTGTCTTATCATTAAAAATCAGATAAATTATTTATATGAACAAGCTTACAAGTGGAGCTTATAAGTCGTTGCCACTTTACCAACATTTTATTTCGTCCTTACTGGTGAACTATTAAATTCGTTAATCAACCCGACAGTTTTTCGCATTTTAACACTAACACTGGCAACACGTTGTGCTATATGATCATCGAAAATCTTGAAGACAATTGAAAATAAAAATATAGAGTAAAATAATATAGACATAATTTTGTTAGGACAACAAATTTTTATATACTGAAAAATACCTAAAATACACAAATGAATAAAGCGCGGAAAATTAGTATCATCGCGAAAGTATCGCAACTCTATCTGACGAACGGAGAATTACAAATTTTAACTACGAAGCGAACAAAGCCAAAGGCATCCGGACGTTTTAAAAAAATGCAACACAGTATCAAATTTGTATTCTCAATTTTATTACATTTTTAAAATCATTTATTTAAACAGTACACTAAAAATGAATTAGTACATTGAAAAAGTTAACTTTCTTAATAAAAAATTATTTACAACGCGCTAAAAAGAAGTTTAAACGGTTGTAACCATCTGAAGAATACACTTCGACTCGTCAATTTTTGACGAAACAATTATTTTCTGCTTGCTGGATTCGCACCCGTAAATGTCATCCCCGTCGATGTCAGTGATACCGAAAAATGTTCTTAAACTAGTTCGCCATTTCTTCCGCGAGCCACTTACTCTGTGGTCGTTGCCGTCATTGCTGTTGTCGTTGGTGGTGGCACTGACGGTGGCATTGTCGACGTGATTTAAGTTGGCCACGCTGTCAAATCTAGCGATATTGGTGTCGGGCCTGTCAGAACGACGCCTGGTAAACAACCTCGCACATAACCACCTCCTCCTGGGAGTTTCCACATCTTTAGCCCCACTACCATCATCATCGACACTGTGTTGGCGTTTGTTGGCTTTTGATATAAAAACATCCACTTTCATACGTTTGGCTCTACCGGATTTCTGATTGCCTCGAGACACGACGTACCCCCTTCTTGAAACGTTATCGCAGACCAGGTACCGGTCCTTCTGGGAGTCAGTGAAAATAAATGAGACCTGCTTCTCCATACTTCTTTGAAAATCTGTGCAAGTAGAATTGAAAATATGATGGAATTTCGTTACTACATGTCGTTAATTCATTAAACATTTAATTCATCTAAAAATCGATACACCATGATGACAAAACCGTAGACAATGCAAATTAAAAAATCGAAATACGACACAAATTTCTACACCACAAACAACGGCCAACCTTTATAAAATCCTTTAATTTCTCAGCAAATTTTAAAAACATACAAAATTACACGGCGAATTCTGTAGCTTAAATAGAAATTTCCGAGTTATACAAATAAACTAAATGACTACAATGACTACAATAAATAACTATCTAATCACCTACAACATCAATACATAAATTTGTATATATATATATATATATATATCACAAATTATACACAAATTAGGGAAGGATAGGTATTGATACAATATACAATAATACGGTGTAAGTGTTAAAAAGTTCGAAACGGAAAAGTTACTACCACAACATTTTTGGGATGGTCACATGCAGTAAGCTAGAGAAAATTTTAAAATGGAGACTACTTCAAATTATTTTGCGCGTCTGTATGTGCGTGTTGTGCGTGTATGTCCGCGTGTGCGTGTTCGTATGCGTGTCTGTGTGTGACTGTTATGACTGCTCATCATGAGCTCGATCACAGTCATCCTGCCTTATTAATTGTTGTTTTTGGGAAGCAAATAAAAGTTTCGTTTCGTTTATTGTATTGATACAACCATGGATATATCCATGGATACATCATGCAATACGGTGTAGGTGTTATAAAGTTCGAAACGGAAAAATAACTACTACAACATTTTTGGGATGGTCACATACGGTCAGCCAGAGTAAATTTTAAAACGGTAACTACTTCAATTTGTTTTGCGCGTCTGTATGTCGTCATCAACATCGTCACTTAGAATATTCTTTAAATCCCTTGAAATCCTCCAACATAAACAAAACCTTGCAATAAAAGAACGCACTTTATATTAACATTAATGACGTCATTTCGGGTCTTGGTATAAAATTGATGACGAAAGTACAAACTAAATTTTCGATTATTATTTTAGTTGAATCTAGTTTAAAAAATGAAATACTAGATTTAGAAGAGTGATTTTATGTGTAATAGATAACAAAAATTGGAGTTATTGAAAAAAACCTGCTAACCCATCCCTATTTGTGTGTTTTGTTTACTTTTACTCTTAACAACAATTCAAATAGGCGGTTTAAAAATAAAATTGATACGAAAAATCCTGTAAATACTACGCAAACGTCGGTTTTTATATTAGTTAGACATGGATCAGGACAAAATGACTAACAAATTTTCTATTTTTCAAAAAAAATATTTAATGAATTTTGATCAAATTCTTAATAAGGTTTCATTGAGTTTTTCAAACAAATCTAATTTTAATTTAAATTAATTTATATTTTATTTATTAATAATTTAATTAATTTTCATGATGGACTGATATAAAGATTGATTGAAATATTGCCTTTTTTGGATATAGGCGTGTACCTGTACCTATATACAGAGAGATGGAGAGAGAGTGATCATTATAGAATAGATATAAAAAGACTGTTGTGTCTAATTTATAATTATACAAATACACATGATAAATTTAATTATTAATTTAATACATAGGTATTAAATTTTAATACTAATTTAAATAAAAAAGTATATGTATAAAAGTTTAAAACATAAATAACAAAATAATAAATAAAGATGAGGATCTGCTTAGTAGTTAAACAAGTTTGACTCTATAAATGATTTCTTTCTTATTAAAAATTAAAATGGATCCGGTCATAGCAGCATATTTTCTGATTACACTAGGATTTTCATCAATAACTGCATTTCTGACAGTCTTAATCCAATATATATAATACATCATCATCAACTTCATTCAATCAAACTAAACTTTTCTATTTTTTTTTTGTTTCTGCGACTGCAACTATTCTAATGATAGTTTCCCTATTTTTAGTTTTTTATTAAATAACTTTTAAAAATATTTAAAAAATTTTTTTCAGTACGAACGACTTTCAAAACTTGACAATACTTCTGCTGCTAAAGAACACAACAACGTTTTCGACATTGATTTTGATACATTAGATGTTGTTCAAAATGATCGTAGGTTTCATTTTTTTCAGACGAGAATAAGAAATAAATTTTAATTAGTTTCATATAATTTTATAAAATTATTAGAATTAGGTCAAAGAGTTAATAAATTGCAGATAGATTCTAATGTTTCTTTGTTTTATAGAGTTATAAATGTTAATTCATTAGTTTCATTTACTTATTTTATAGTAAACAATGAATGATGAAGAATTATATCAAGAAAAATTTATCCCAACCTAATTTTTTCGTGATTTCAAATTGCAGAGAAGAAAGATGTCAATGGTATCATTGGGAAATATAAGCACAAAGGAATTGGAAAGTCCGTTTTGCCATCTGATAATTTGGCAGGTCAGTCTGGTTAGGTAGGGTAGTGTAGTAAGCCCAGTGGTGCCATTTTTTGAATATTTTTTTGAGGGTCAGCAAAGTTATTGAGAGGTCTGAAATGGTTTTTTTTTACAAACACATTTGGTGTCACTACTTTAGGTGTGAGTTATATTTTTCTGTTCATCTGGTATTAATTATTATTAATTTATTATTTTTTATGTGGGCATTATAACTATGTATTTGTGCATAATTCACTCATTTGTTGGCTATTTGGCTATGCTGTGGGGCAAAAGTTTAAGCTGCCCCACTGTAAATTATTAAGGGAGGGGAGTGGTGAAAAATAACTTGCCTTCTATAAGTATACAACTATGACCATGTGACCATACTAAAGTCTAAATTTAATCATAAAAATAACCCTTCTTACAAATTAATTTTATAATTTTCTTTATGGAATAAGTTGAGGAAGAGGACTGCTTAATTGTGGACATCTCTTACTGCTTGAATGCTAGGCCAAACCTTTCAGCCGCAGACAGCAGGATGAAGAATTTACTTGATGAATGTGAGTTCTCAGTCGACTTATTCAGTTATCAGTTTCATCCATTACACACACGCACACGCACGCACTCATACACGCACGCGCACACATACACACAAACACGTACACACAGGTATGTGTGTATATATATATATATATATATATATATATATATATATTTAATTCCTTACAGCTATTGCAGTGATCGGCGATGATGGTGACGATGATGGCGAAACTATATCATCGATTTCATCATCGCCATCGTCATCATCGTTGTCAGATTATGAAATTGAAGTTATATCTGATGATGATGACGACGACGAAAATGCTATTGATGATGATAATGATGATGATGATGTTGATGTAGTTGCTGATTATGGTGCTACTGCTAGCAGTAAAATTATAACTAATTATGATGACGATAGTAATATAAATAATGATAATATAAATACTACCACTGCTGCTACTTATAATAATAATAATAATAACAATAATAATAATAATAGCGATAAAGATACTCTAGATGAGTTTGAAAACGATGATGGCGATAAGAACCGCAATGATAAAAATTGTATCGACAATGATACGAATATTAATAATGATGATGACGATGATCATACAACTAAGGATAGTAATAATACAAACAATAATAATAAGAATAATAAATATTATGATATTAATGATAATAACACCGTTAATAATATTAATAAAAATAATAATAATTATGATATTAATTATATTGATAATATAAATAATAATAGTAATTATGATATTAATGATTACTGCAAAAGTAGTGACAATAAGACTAAGAACGATAACATCACTAGTGATAACAACAACAACAATAAAAATATCAACATTAATAAGAATAATATTACCGTTAATAATAATATTGACAGTTACAAAAACGTCTTTGGCAAATTCATCTGCGTTGATGAGTTGAAGGCAGATGTTAATATTAATATCTCTGATTATGACGACAAACATAATAATAATAATAATAATATTAATATTAATAATATTAGTAATAATAATTATAGTAATATCCGTTGTAGTTGTTGTAGTAACGCTAGTAAAATTAACAAATGTAGTAGCGATGGTGTTAGTAATAAATACAGTTGCAGTAACCCTATAATAAAAAATTACTTTGAACTGAAGGTGCCTTCCGACGACGATGAGGATGGCGATGATGACGAAAATGATGGTAATGTTAAGCGCGGATCTTTAACAATTGTTAGTCAATCTGATACGGAGTTGAGTCATGGATTAGTAATTGAATTGGAAAATGTATCAGACATTGTGAAAGTTAATGGAAATTCAGATGAGCGGTTGAATAAAAAATCCGATGAATATCCAAATAAAAAATCCGATGAACATCCGAATAAAAAATCCGATGAACATCTAAATGAAAAATGTTATGAACATTTAGAAACAAAATTTAGTGAACCTTTGAACAAAAAATTAGATGAACGATTGAGTAAAAAATTGAGAAATACATCAAATACATCGAATGAACGTGCGAGTAAACAATCAGTTCAAAGTTTGAGCGAAAAATCAGTTGAAGGTTTGAGTAAAACATTTAGAGAACCTTTGAAAAAAACGTCAGATGATGTCAAATCACTCGGACGTTCGTGTGAAAAACCAGGCAGACATTTGAGGAGAAAGTCAGACAAACTATTGAAGGAACGGACGATAAACAACAGTTTTAGTTTTAACAGCAGCAACGCTAATCACACCAAAAATGGTGATAACAACAATGGTGGTAACAACAATTATAATCTTCAAATAAAAATTGAACGCATTTCTCCACCATTTAAAGATGATGCTATTAACCTAACTGCTACTAATTTTACTAAAATCTTGACTAAATCTGTCCCCAATGCAAGTTATAATACTTGCAATAAAACTAGCACTTGCAATAAATACAATCCCGCAGTAAATAGTACCGCTACTACAACAGCAACAACCGCTGCTTTAAACGTAGATACAGTTACTACTAGCTGCATCACGGTTTCTTCCGTCACCTCGACAGCAATGACAACAGCGACGAAACTTTCAACCGTCTCAAGTGACCTCTCCAAAGCGTATTTGTATCTGGAGTTAGAGGAAGATTATCTGATTGTTGGTGACGTAAAATTTCCACCTATGCCCGTGCTCAAATCTCAATTTATCAAAAAAGAATTCCAAACTGTAAACGGAAAACCTCATCCAAGAAAGGGGCGACGAGCGACGCTCGGTAGCTTAGAACTGACTGCACCGCGGCTACGGCGACAACCAGAAAGTACTTACTACTCAAACATCATTCATCAATCTATGAAGAAAGAGAGTCAGTCGTTGAATGAGAGAATTTACTTGACTCCTAAACGACGATTACATAAAGAGTCTCAACTTCAAGTCTCATTAAGTCGAATGGGATTAAAAAGTGAATTCACTACTACTTCTATTGCTGCTACTACTTCTACCACTACTACTACTGCAGTTGCTGCTGCTACTACTACTACCACTTGCTCTTCAAGTACTTACGTCGCTGCTACAAGAAGTAGTAGTCGCAATAGTAGAAGATGTAACACTGCGCCAAATGATGCTTGCAACATTTCAAAATGTCATCAACCCGCTTACGAATTGCGTTCCACTGTAAAGCTGGACATTCCACTTGATGATTTGTCTACCTTCGATGAGGAGGACGAAGAAGCTGGTGATGGCCGATGTGGCGGCGACGTGAGCCTCAGTGACGATGACGACGTACTCTATCAACTCAACACGCGTAAACTTCGAAGAGAAAAGTTTGAAAGTTCATTTGGTAGGACTTGTAACGCTAAGAAAAAACTTAAATACAGTTGAAAAATTTTCATTCAATTATTTTTTTATCTCCTTTTGTTATTTAATTAGCTATAAATTAATCAAATAAAATATTTAATAGAGCATTTTGTAAATTAATAAAACACATGAATTGAAATTATAGTGGCGTTTTGTTTCACTGTTTTGTAGAAGTTGGAAATGGAACCGCACAATTTGTAACATTGCAATATTAATCTCCTCCATCTTCTTTCATGTTTCATCTGTTTCCCGGAAGATTCAAAAACCATCCATCAAAGCTACTCGTTTTATGTTTCTCGTAACATTTTTTTCGTTAATTCATTTTAAATTAATGCGCTGATAATAATTCTCCCGCTATTAACAATGTTCGTTTTGTAAACGACCTTGCGTGTGTCATTTCTTCTTGTAACCGCTAATCTCGTAGGTTTATAATTGGGTGGATAGAATGATGGATGGATGGATGTGTGAGTGAATGAATGGATGGATAGGTAAGTGAATGGATGGATAAATGAATGGGTATATGAAGCAGGTGGATGAATTGATGGTTGCTTACATTTTCCTGAATGTTTTTTGCTTCCATATACGATGGGCTTTGAGTGCGTTGTGTCGGCGAAGGTATTCGAGGAGATTTTGATGGTATTTTGTTGTGTTCTGTTTTGGGATTGAGAGTGAATAAGTAAGTGATTGGATGAATGAAGCTGAAAATGCATCGTACATGCATCAGAATGAATGACTGAATAAAGTAAAGATGGATAAATGAATGAGTGAAGTGAATACACGCGTATGGATGATGATGAATGGAGTGAATTCGTTTGCATGCACAAGCACATAGATGAATGAAGAATGTATGGATAGGTTTCATAGTGGATGAATGAAAAAGAAAGGAAAATGAAAAAAAAAGAAAATAATTTCACAATGACGAATGTCACACATTGTGTCTCAGGCGTATCACTATCACATTCTTCCCATATCTAGTAAAAAAATTTTCTTCCAGAGTATATAAGTTCATGCAATATGTGTTTGTAAGGTGCGGTATCACACGGCATACGTAGATCCGCATGTGTATGGAACTGTGTGTGCGTGTGTATGTGTGTGCGCGCAAAAGTGAAAGTTATGTGAAGACCATCGGAAGTTAAAATTAGATGGACATACATTCCATTTTCACACAATAACGTCAGAAATCAAAACACGTTCACTCGTGTATAGTATTTATACTTGAATATTCATATCTGTACAATAAACACTATACATGCAAAGATAGATATGCTTGAAGTACCTATTGCACTGTAAGACCTTCAGTATACGTATATATATACAAAAGTACATAGATGTATGATTTATACGCACTGATAGATTTCTGGACACAAGAAAAATTATAATAATGATGCGAAGAGTCGAATGCCTTAGCGTTCATGCGAGGTCCTCTCAATCAATGACATTAACTTTTAACATCGTCATTCATTTTCGACAATCGATGTGAACACGTTTCTATGATTTTTCTCTTTCTCTCTCTCTCTCTCCTTCTTTCTCTCTCTTTCTTTCCCCTTTCCTGGTGTAATCCGGTACGTTTTTTGATGGGAAAAATTTAAAAAATGACAATAAATTTGTGAAAACAAAATCGATAAAAATACCGTGTTCGAATATACGTTTGTGTGTTTACATCTCTGTGTGTGTGTGTGGTGTGTGTGTGTGTATTGATGTGTGGGTCTATTTATGGATAAGCACATTTATCCAGTCCCATTTTGAATATTGAGAGATGGGCGCAGCGGAGATATTGCTCTTTTTTACTGCCACTTTTAAAAAATTCATTTATTTTAATGGTTTTTTTGTCCAAAAATGTTTCAGTGTTCTTCCTCCGCACGGCGTTGGTTATGCTATATGGAATAAATTGTTGAAATTGATGGGGATTTTTTTTGCTTTTGAATTGCGTCACATTTATGTGCAGCATAAAAATGATAATGCTGATCGCTTGGTCAAATATTTCCTTTTTTCCGCGTCGATCGAGTCACGTTTATGACGTCACAATAATTAAGAGCATTTCCGCTTCCGTTATTTTTCATCGATTGTTATTTTTATTGTTTTCCAAGCGCATGCTTTTTGCATTCTTTCTTTTTTTCCATCTACAGTTTTCAATCGTTTGTCGAAAAAATGGAAATCAATTTGCATGTTGATTGATTTTGTAATTTTCAGAAATTCGGGGCCTCCGATTAAGTGATGCATCATCAGAAGGGAGATGACCAGTCTATGTACCTCCCTATCCTCTTGCTTCTATCCTGCTCCCACTTACTCATCGTCCCTATCCTCTTATTTTCATCATATTCACAGTTACGCAACGGGCTTTTGAGAAACGCGGCAGTAGATGTAGTGGTGGCATGGTTTGTTGGGTCGTTGTTTTTCACGAAAACAACCACTGGGTTGTGGTGGGTGGCCGTTCTTGCTGTTCTCTGAGTTGTCGATTCGATGAAATTGTTTGTAGGGTTTATTTTACAGTTGAATCCATAATTCGTGAGTGGAGTTTCGCTGCTGGTGATGTGGATGTTGTCGTCGATGGTGCAGCTGCTGCTGTTGCGTTTGTTGTTGTAGCGCTTGCCAGTGTCCTGGTCGACGTTGTGGCTCTTTTTGATGGAGTTATAATTCATTTCGTCCATTCGTTTGGCCATTTTGTTTTTGTTATTCTTAACTACACAGCTGATCAGCAAACCTGAAACGATGAACAGAATGAAAATGAAACAGAGACAAACGAAGGCGATGAGAAGTAAAGAAACTGTTTGCGATTGTGTGTGGGCATGAGTCAAGTAATAGTCGGTAGTGCCCGACGATGCATTTAAACCGTTAGTATCGACTCGGAGCAAAGCGAATGAGATCGGTAAGGCCGTCGTAACGTTCGGCGGTTGAGTCACATTTGGTGATATCGATGTCGAAACCGAAACTGTCCGCGACATCTCATCGCTGATTTTTCTGTTTTCTGATTCGCCCTCTATAAATATCGAAACCATTAACGTGGATGAAAGTGGGGGATTTCCATTGTCACTGGCCACCACATGAAATCGAAAGTAGGTTTTTCCAAGTTCACTGAAACTCGGAGTAGTTATCACAATCGTCAGTTCGTCTCGGAACTCACCGCCCCGACGTCTAAACACCAACTGAAACAATTCGGAGGGCGGAGTCATATTGTAGCTGCACGTTGATTGGCTGACTCTATCTATGTCAAAGGTCAGTGGTAACTTCAAACCATGACCTGGTTTCATTAACGATTTTCTGAGGTGGAACTCGTAAGAGGGTACTGTCCAGCGAGGGGGGTGGTCGTTGATGTCGTGAACTTCCATGAAGATCTGGTGGCGGAAATGGTCAAGTGGACGAAAATAATAATAATAATATTATTATATAATATTATTATTATTATTATTAATAAAAATAAGAATGTCAACTGTAATAAATGCAGGATTGATTGAGATTGGTTATAATGAAGAAAGATAATAGAAAAAAATAAGATCGACAGGTTAAATAACAAAATAATAATGATTATTATTTATATTATTAATATAAATATTATTTTATTAAATATTATAACGATTATTACGTAATAAATTAAATTAAATTGATAAATAGCCTGAATACGTTGAGAAAATTAAATAAATTTTTAACTATTAATTAACTATCAATATTATTATAACTATCAATTTATCAAACTTTATTTAAATGGTTTTTCTTATGATATTATTTCGAGAGGATGATGGTCATTGTTAATGTTAACTATGATTTTCAAACTTATTTTTCCGTGTCAACGTACATTTTATTGAAGTTCGTTTATTTTTATTTTTTTCTGTCCAGTTAAGTGGTTCTTTGTGTCTCTCTGGGCAGTTCTGTCAATAAATAAATAGATAAATAAAATCAAAAAAACCTGAATTTGAAGTAAAGTAGTCTCAGTAGAGACGAGGACGACCATCTCAACAGTGCACTCATCAACGCCATGTACTGTTGGTGGGTACATCAAATGGGATGTTTTTGTTCTCAGTGGAGATTGTGAAGATGATAAGGATGATGATAATGAGGAGGAGGATGAAGATGAGGAGGAAGATGATGATGGCGAGAAGGAAGACGATGATGAAGATAAGCTTGACAGTGATGACGGCATCAACGACTCAAAAAATGATGACTCCGACGATGATTTCAATGATAATGTTGGTAACGATTGTGGTGATGATGATAATGATGATGATAATGATAGTGATGATAAGGATGATGACGATGCTGATGTGATTTCAGCCGGACAAATTGATTCCCTATCAATCCTATGCGCCGTCCTCAGGATCCCACTTCGACGATCCAAAGATGTTAAATAGTAAGTCTTGCCGGATGTCGCCATTTTAACTGATGGGCGTGTTTTAAATGTAAATTCCAGCTTGTCGTTTTGGCCGTGTTTCCAGCTGTGTTTGAATAATTCTCTGTGCACGTCGCCGATGTAAGACCCCACCGGAAGTATTTCTTCCGTGATGTCATAATTCAAGATGGCGTCGTATCCAAAAATTGTTTTTAAGGATATAGAAAATAGTAAAAACCAAAAGTTCACTATGAACATTTTACCTTTGAACATGCGAATTATTTTTTTTAACATTTGAATCGCAATCCAGCTATATCAATACCAATACTTAAGTGAACTGATAATTTATTATTGAATGAATAAATGATTTAATTTATTTATTTATTCATTATACCTAACTATTAGTATTATTAATCTAATTAAATTTAATTAGCTTTTTAGTATTAAAAATAATCACAAACTTTTATTATTTTGGTCGCAATTCTTCCCAGTACAACGTAAGCACAATTTTCTATCTGACATGATCAAACAACGCGATGTGTCGGTCAACGTTCAGCATTGTGTGTATATATATATCTATGTATATGTATATGTGTATTTTTGTTTGTTTGTGTGTGTTTGTGCATGTATATACATGCGCATACAATTACAAAAGTCAAAAATTGTTTCGAGTTAATAAATAACAAATAACTCTAGCAGACACATACACGCGCGCACGCTCGCACACATACACGCGCCACACAACACACATACATTCGATAGGCAAACAGACACAGAGAGAAAAAAAGAAAAAAAATAAAAGAGAGGGAAAAGGAGAGAAAGGATGAAAGAAAAAGTAGAAATGTCTATTAAAAAACAAATCGAAATGGACTGAATTAGGAATCACGTAAACACATACACTCACCCATGTACATGCATAGAAGGAAAGACACAAATGGAGAGAAAGAGAGATACATAATGAGAGAGAGAGAGAGAGTGAAAAAGAGAGAGAGAGAGACAGTAGTGCAATGGAAGCAGATAAATTTGGCCCAATACATCACAAATCCAACGAACAGAAAATTCACAATGGAATATCGGTTTCTCTTTATATTCACTGTCATTATTATTCTTATTACTATTACTCATTATCATTGTTGCTGTTGCGTTTTTCGTATTAATCATTGCAAATATTATTATTATTATTATTTTATTATTATATTATTATTATTTTTATCATTATTATTGTTGTTGTAGTTGGTATGTTTGTACTCAATGTTTGAGTGATTGTGGTGATGGTATATTTAAGGAAAGTACACACACACGCGCGCGCGCACACATACACACACGCACACACACACACACACACATATATATATATATAATTGTAAAAATATAGGCAAAAAGCAGTCAAGGCTTGTTGATGAGGAGCATTCAAGGAACTGTCATACGTTGTAATTAAGGTCAACTGAATATTCGGTTGCTGCTGCAGTCGCCACTGCTGATACTGCTGCTTTTGTGGTGATCACGTGATGATGATGTGATGCGATGATGACGTCATCTACTGTTGCCGCTTCTGTTACATCTACAACTGCAAATATTACTACTAAAAGTGCTGCTGCTACTACTACTACTACTACAACTACTAATCCTACTTCTGCTGCTGCTAATACTACTGCTAATGATATAATGGTGATGTGATATGGTGTGTACTCAACCTAATTCATTTTGGAAGTACGGATACCTTATTCATATATTACACTCCTTTCAGTAGTAGCAGGATTATTTCAGTAACTCTCAATCATTTCAATTAATCCGTGGTGATTATTTTACATAATATGAAAAACGCGTTGAAAGTTTCAACAGCCACGTTTATGAAATCGTTTTAAAATTCTGTTGTAGAAACTTACAGCCTGGCAACACTCGCCACGTCAAGTTTTTCGATCGATAGCTCAAATGATTGAAAGTTATCGATTTCAATAATTAACAAAGAAAAATTTGAGAAAATAAATTAACTTCTAAAATATTCTCGTTATCGATTAATTAATTAATTTTCTTTTTTCTCTTTTTTTCTCTTTTTTCCAAGAAAGATTTCATTAAAAATTTAATTAAAATGATAAATTAAGTGTTAACACTTTTGTATCGATTGACGGTAGATTTCAATTTATATATAAAATCCAGCTCTAGTATGCTTAAACTTGCTTCTATTATATAAACGTTTCCATAAATTAACTTAACATCCCATAAATTATCATAATATTGCATAAATTGTCGTAGTTTTGCATAAATAATCGTAATATCGCACATATATTATAATTTTTTTGTGTGTATTTTAATTTAAAATTTCGAATTATAACAATGAAGTTGAATTCTTTGGCAGGCGTTTTCCTTGCGGTTGTTTTTGTGATCGCTAGCAGCAGTGTTACAGGCTAGAAGTTAATTGAAAATTATAATTATCAAATTTAAATTTATTTATTATATTACATTACAATAATAATTATTATTAGTAGTAGTAGTGATAGCATTAGTAGTAGCAGCAGCAGTAAGTAGTAATAGTAGTAACAGCAGATGTTGAAATTGTGCTATTTTATTGTTATATTTTATATAAACATAAACAATCATCTTTTTATTCTTCATAACGCAGCTCTGTCAAAGGCAGAGTTGCTTACGTGTTGCTCTAAACTGGTAATTCAACCTTTTGTGCCGCAAACAAAGGCTGTACACTATCCACACCACACACACACACACACACACACATCACGTACGCACGCACGCGCAAGCACAGCGTCATACACGTGCGATGGTCTTTCAGTTTCGGGCAGACAGTATTCGAACCAGGCCATTGCCTTACGTTCTCAAATCAAAACAGGAGCAGACGAAGGAAAGGAAGTCAAAGAGCACAAAAGCAGCAAGGATGATGATGACGACAAAAAGAACGATGACGTCATCGTCGAAGTAGAGGAAGAAGAAGACGGTGAAGATGGCAATGATAACGATGGAGTTTCCCATAAAAGTGATGATGACGGCCATCACCACCATCATCATGATGATGGGAAAAGAAAGAGTTTGGATGTTGGTAAGAAAAGTGGCGGTAGTAGTTGAAAATAATTATAAAAAATTATTTTAATTTCAAAAATTGTGACGATTTTTTTCAACATTATTGTTGAAAATTATTTAATATTGTCCTATAATTGGTTTACTATTTTTTGGGAAATAAACTTTTATCATGTTTCCGTTTTTTTTTCATTGTTTGATTTCATAGAAATGTCATCATGTCATTGTTTGACTTCATCATCGTCGTCATCATCATCATTTTTTTTTCATCATCATTATCTCCTTCATCTTCCTCTTCTTCCTTTCCCTCTTCTTCCTCTTCTTCTTTTTCATGTTTTTTTTAATTAAATTCAATTTAGTTGATGCTGGCCGCATTGCGCTGACTGGCAGCCATTAAGTTATCAACGAAAAAAAAAATTTTGTTTACGCTGAAGCGTTTAACATTCCACAAAAAATTGAAATCCGATTCTTGATAGTAATGCTATCACGTGATGTTATTGTTAATTTTATCATCATCATCATCACTACCAACATCATCGTCATCATTCTTCATCATCATCATTGTAGTTAGCGTATCATCAGCTTTGTCGTCATCGTATTATTTATACTGCCGTAGAATTCATCATCGTCATCATCATCATATTTTTTCTTCACTATCATTATCATCATCATCATCATCTCTTCTATCGTCACCTCCATTAACGTCACCATCATCATCGTCGTCATCATCACCACCATCATCATCGTCGTCATCATCACCACCATCATCATCGTCGTCATCATCACCACCATCATCATCGTCGTCATCATCACCACCATCATCATCGTCATCGTCATCAACTTTTCTTTAGAGTGCCTTTGTTTAAGAAATCGAACAAAAACATAAAAATAGTTATAAACATGAAAATAATAATAAAGGTACAGGAAAAATTTCTCTTGACTACATCAGGCTGGCTGGCTGGCTCACGCATTCAGCACAAATAAACAGCTCGTGTAGTAGTTAATTTAATTCTCATTTAAATTCATCTTGCCCTAAAAAAATTGTCACCATTTATGTTATTTATTTGAAAAAAAATTTAACTGAGAGTTTATTTGACAAATTAATTTAACTGAAAATGACAAATAAAGTTAATTCTAATTAATTATAACAGCAAGCAAGAAATAATTAACAGTTATGATAAATGGATGGAAATAATAATTATAATAATATTGACAAATTTCAAATGACCTAATTTAAATTAAATTTAATAAAATCATCGTTCATTTATTGATTCATTCATCTATAAGACTATTTTCAAATTATCGAGTTGAGAATTTCTCTACGAAAAAAAATGTCTCCATTGATCATTTTCGCCATGCTATCTGCGAGTATCCATGCAAAAATTACAGGCAAGTGGTTCAAAGTTATAATTACTATTCGTAATGATATTTTTGTTATAATTAATTTTTTATTGTTTTTAAAAATACATAATAACAGTTATGTCTAATGGGGGTGTCGTCATTTGTTTCTTTAGCAATATCAAAAATATGCCATCACATCATTCAATTCAATCGCTTGATAAACTATTCGTTCATAGTCCATTAACCAGTCAGTTGCTAATTCATCCATTCGTCATTTTATCTATCCATCTACCAATCCATCCATTTATCTTTCTATTTGTACAAATCCATTTATCCACAAAAAACAATTGATTCCATTTTAATCTGGGTTTGAGATTTTGTTATGAAAAACTGGTTGAAACTGTTGGCCATCAATAAAATAATAACCATTTAGTACCATTAAGATTGATTAATTGGTTTACTCTTTTTATTATTCTAAATCAACTGAAAAATTGAGTTTAGGAAAATCTTCTCCCTCCCCCACCTCAACATTTAAAGGTGGATTGACACCCTGCACCTATCCAACCAACCGTCCATCCATTCACCAGCAGATCCAACAATCAACAACCACCTCAGGTATTAGTTGCACCGTCATCAGCTGTTTGTCTCGTTGGTTTCCCAGCCAGCAACTTGGTCCCATCTATCCATTCTTCGTCCTTGACCTATACGCCAGTGTTGAAGATATGTGCTTGTTAGGCCGGTTCTTTTATGTCTTTTTTTTCAGTTTTTATTATTTTTGATTATTTTGATTATTTTTGATTATTTCTGTTTATTTATTTGTTTGTTTTTTTGGAAATTTTTTTAAACAAATTGTTTCGTTTTCCTTTAATTACTGTTTTAGATTGAACAAATGAATGAGGAATAAATGAATGACAGTACAGACATCAGCTGATCGTTTAAATAATTGATTGGTCAATCGTTCAATCGTTTAAATGATCGATTGACCAAACTAAATCAACAATCATTAACCGACCAACTAACTAATCGACCAATCATCAATCAATCATTTGACTGGACAACTGACCAAGCCAGAAACGTAGCGATAACCAATTCGTGCGTGGTTCAAAACCTGGAGTGGAAGTGTGAATGGGGGAGGAGTGGGCGGTCCAACTTGAAACGGTGGCAACAACTGCGTCGTACCTTCGATTTTATCTGTGTGGAAGAGAAACAAGGTGACTCTCATCGACATCATCATCGTCATCGTCGTCATCATCATCATCATAATCATCATCATTATCATCATCGTCGTCGTCATCAACATCATTATCATCATCGTCGTCATCATCATCATCATCATTATTATTGCTGTTGTTGTTTGCCGCTGCTATTATTATTATTATTATTATTGTCGTCATCATAAACTTCCTTCTTATCTTTTTCATCTTAATCCACATTACATTGAAGAAGATGATGATTATTATTATTTTTATTATTAAAAATATTATTATTATTATTCATTACAAGCTTTCACAGATTTTCACCCATGTTTAAGAAACGACTTGGCGAAGCAGGTGTACAAGCGTTGCAGCAATACTTACCACCAAGTCTGGAATAAAAATAAAGAGGTTCCGTGTCGGTAGGTCATGTTGTTGTCGTTGTTGGTTATGCTATTATTGTTGTTCATGTTGTCGGTTGTTGATGCTGTTGTTGTTGTTGAATTTGTTGTTATTTTATGCTTAAACAGGGACAAATTTAAGAATTTAAAAGTTGGATTTAAGAATTTTATCACAAATTTTATCATCTTCATCTTCTTCTTTACCATCATCGTCGCCGTCAACGTCGTCATTCCCATCATTATCAAAGTTACCACCACCACCACCATCATCATCATCATCATCATCATCATCATTATTATCATCGTGAACAGGGAAAACTTCCTCGACTGCCTCACCCAGATCTTGTACAGCCACTGCCTGGAGGACAGCATGTGGTTGAAACTGAGGACGATGCTACAAACGTACATGGATGACGTCATTACAAAGCACTTCAGCTGCATTCATCCCCATTCCAACTACATTAGCAGTACCAGTAACTCTATCGTTAACAGTAATAGTAACAGCAGTAATAGTAGTAATTGTAGTAATTTGAAATGTAAAATGTTAAGCCATTCGAGTGTTAATGACATTAAAAGCGGTGGTTTATGTAATTATTCCATGATTTGCGTCGCATTATGTGTCGGGGTGTTGTTAAGTACTTGGTGTTAGTATGTTTAGAAGTAAAATTATTGGTTTTAATTTATTTTTTTTATAAAATAATAATGAAGATAATATTATAGAATGTTGGCATTTTTTCATAGACCGCATAAACAACAAGTTGATTTGCTTATTGTATATCTTATTGTATATCTTGTTGTATATCTTATATCTTTCCTTCAATTTAGTTTTATCTAATATAATTTTTTCAAAAAAATTCATTTATTTGATTAACCATTTGAATGAAATTTAAACAAATTTTAATGTGTCCAAATTAAGTTTGTACGATGTTAACGCTGTAAGTGTTAGTAATAATCGGCAAATTGGTAACAATACTAAAGTTAGTAGAATTAGTATTAAAAATACATAAACCTAATCAATGGCGGATCCAGAATTTCACAGTGAATTGAAGACTTAAAGTGTTAAGTCACATATTTATTTTTACACAGAATCTTTAATACCTCTTCTTACCTGGTATGGACCCACCACTGAGCTTAGTAGAATAAATTAAAATAAATTAGAATGAAATTTTTAAAAAAATATTCAATCAATTGTTCTCACTCAGCTAATTTTAAAACAAACTTTAATCACATTAAAAAAAGAAAATGTATTTTAATAAATTTTATGAATTTTAATAACGAAAATGATGATTTTAATTATAATATATAAATGTTAAATATAATATATATATATATATATAATATCTAAATATATTATTATATGTATATATAAACATACGTTAACATAAACATACGTTAACATAAACAACAATATAGTATTAATAACAATAACAACAACAACATAACAATATTATTATTATTATTTTCATAGATAGAAACACCTTTAGATTTAACGATAAATCAGTAACTAAATAATTATAATAATTATTATTTTTATTACTACTATTACTATTTACCCATGTTATTGTTATTATTATTGTTATTGTTATTATTATTAGTTCACTAAAATTAACGTCAAAGTCTAGGAGAACATTTTGAGAAAATTTATTAAAAATTAGAATTTTGTTAGAAATACATTGGAATAAATTAGTAATTAAATGAATGCATAAATTAATAAATTACTAATTAATTTAAATAAGTTAAATAGAACGAGTTATGATTGCACAAAAATTATTAAGAAATCATCGTCATTATGTTTTTCTAACATTCAGATGGTGATGTTGTTGTTCGTTAGTGTTGGAATGATTAGGATAATGCCGATTTAGTTTATTCCAATTAATTTATTCATTTAATCACTATATCAATCAATTAGCCAATTATAAATTTATTTATTTATTCATTCATTCGCTCAATCGATCCATTAATCGCCAGGTAATTAACTCATTCACTCATTAATTCATAATATCAATCAAGTAATTAATAACTATGCTCATTGTTTTATTTGGATAACCACTCATTCACTTGCTCGCTCACTCACTCACTCACTCACTCACTCACTCATTCACTTGCTCGCTCACTACTCACTCACTCACTCACTCACTCTCTCACTCATTTACTCACAAACACATTAATTCATTCACTATTTGTTCGTTCGTTCGTTCATTCAAGCATTCATTCATTCATTCATTTATTTATTCATTTCATCAAATACAACCATTCATTCATTTTTTCATTCATTCAAACTATGACAAATTTAAATTCAAATCCAAAGTCACTGGTCTCATGTGCTGTTCAAAATTATTATTCATTTCATAATAATCTTCACCATCATCGCCAGCGTCATTGAAGTTGCTCCGATGATAACAGTTGTCGTCACCATCATTATTATTTTCATCACCATAATAATGATCGTTATCATCACCATCATATCTTCTTCCTTCATAGCCCCTCACATCATCACGAATATCGAAAGTGAAACTGCGCATTTGGTAATTCCCAGCTTTCGTCGGTTTCGTTTTGTCGTCTCGTAGAAATCCGTAAGTTTCGAAATCTCTGTTCAGGGAATTGACCTGCCTGGGTCTCTCTGTGTTGATGTCTTTGTATCGAAAGTGGCTGTTGCCGAAACGTTCGTTCTGTGGTACGAAAGAGCCGCCGAGTGATGAGAAGGAGGACGAAGATGGGGAGTGTGTGGTGTGGTGCCGCCGTTGGTGGTGCTGCTGTCCGCGATCGTTGTAGTTCCTATTGATGTAATTGTTGTTGATGTTGTTGTTGTTGATGTTGTTGATGTTGTTGCTGCTACTGCTGTTTCTGGGAATCAAACGTTGATGTGATAATCTATCCATTTCCGGTCGTTGTGGTTGTGGATCATGTTGCTGAGTTGGTCGGTAATATTGTTGTCGTTGTTTTTGTTGTTGTTTGCTCTTATATTCGTCAACGCTTGAAAAATGTTGTTTACAATTTTCAACAAAGTTTTTGTTATCGTCGTCATCGTCATTATTATTATTATTATTGTTATCATTATTATCATTGATATCATTACCACAATCATAACCGTACATTTGGCGGTGAAATATATTAGCATTTAGTACAGTTGATGTCACAGCTGATAGACTACCAGCTGTTGCAGCTGATTGGCCAGCTGCTGTCACAGCTGTTGCATGCGGTGGACTACCAGCTGTTAATTTCATTTGTGTTCTTCTAAAAACATCCTCAGTAGAAGACCTCATCCACCATCTCTTGACATCCATGGGCTCCATTATTGACGGTGACGTCATAATTTTTGATTGGATGTTGTTGTTCAGTTGGTGATCGTTTATGGTAATGCTTTGTCGCTGTCCGTCGTTATCTTTTAACATTGTTCGTTGGCCCATGGTGTCATTTTTGTTCTCTTTTTTGTTGATGTGATGGAAGTTGTTGTTTTGTGTGTTGTCGATGTTGTTGTTTTGTTGCTGTCTGTTAATGTCATTCAGGTTTATGTTCAAGTCCAATTTTATTCGGTCGGTTTCGAAGTTGTCGACCATGTTGTGTTTTTCGTCACCCAAAAATTGTGATTTTTGTCCATGAATGCCCAGCATAACGGTCTGCGGTCTTTGCTGTGTTTTATTTTTGTTGCTGTTTTCATAAATTAACTTTTGATGTTTAGGTTCAAAGTTATTTACGTCATCATGGTTTGTTATTCTCCGGTTGTTGTTTTTGTTTTGATTGTTGTTGATCTCATTTAAGTTATTGTTGTTTTGTTGTCCGCTGCTGTTGTTATGTGTTGTGTTATCGTTGTTAATGTCATCATGCAGCTTTTTGGTGTCTTGTTTGTTGTTGTTGTGCTGTTGTTGTTTGATGACGTTGTGTTGTTGTTTGATGACGTTGTGCTGCTTGAAATTGCCGTTGCTTTCGTTTGTGTACGTCATTTCAAAACGTTCATTTTTATTGGCAGTAGTGGCGTCGGTTGCGGCTGGCTTGGTGACGTCACTAATCACGCCATTTAGGTTTATGTTCAAATCCAGGTTAATTTTGTCATCTACTGCATTATCGGCCATGTTGCTTTTGATCTCTTCTAGAAATTTCGATTTCTGGGCGTGAAGATTCAGTATGACTGTCTGCGGTCTTTGCGGTTTTTTATCTTTCGTGACGTCATCTTTTGGTATTTCTGGTTCAGGTCTTAAGAGGTCTACGTCATCAACCGGGGATGTTAACGTGATGCGGGTGACTTTGTTGCCGAGTTTGCTGTAAATATCACCAATTGTGTTGATGTCGTTGGTGCAGCTACTACTACTACTGCTGCTGCTGTTGTTGTTGTTGTTACTTCTGCTGTTGTTGTTACTGCTGTTGTTGTTGTTACTGTTGATGTTGTTGTTGTTAGTGTTATTAGCGTCGTTATTGTTGTTTGCCTTATAATCGTTGTTGAGACCTTCTTCTTTACTATCATTAGTATTTGGTTTAACGTTGTTGTTGTTGTTAATGTCATTGATGTTGTTGTTAATGTCGTTGATGAAGTTTCTGTTGTCAGTTTTGTTATTTTTGTTGATCACATTTTCTTTGTCTACACCGCTAATTGTCGACCTTTTACTGGTGATCGTATTGCAGGCACTGTTTGAACCTGAAATGTATGTTGATGTTTTCGTTGTTGTTGCTATTAATGCCGTTGATGTAGTGGTGGTGGTGGTAGAGGTAGTAGTAGTAGTAGTAGTAGTAGTAGTAGTGAAGGAAGTAGTATTTGTAGTAGTAGTAGTTGCTGCTGCTGCTGTTTTGTATGTTAAAACAGCAGAATCATCGACAGAGATGTTACCATATTCAAGAGAATTTTTTTGTCTTGTTAACAATTTATTTTCGGCACCGAAAATTTGTGGTGAGGATATTGTTGATGTTGATGTTGTTGATGTTGTTGTTGTTGATGGTGATGTTTTTGATGTTGTTGTTGTTGGTGATGTTGCTGGTGATTTTGTTATTAAAGTTAATGTTGTTGATGTGGTTAATGTTGTTGTTGACGTTGTAGTTGATGTTGTTGTTGTTGTTGTTTTCAAAGGTTGAAGTGAAGGTGATTGCGATGATGTTGATGCTCCGGACGTAAATGACGTTTTTGTTGCTGTAGTAGGCAACTTTGCTGTTGGGAATGTTGTTGTTGTTAGTGGAAACGACACTGTTGATGATTTTGTTGTTTTTGTTGAAATAGTTGTAGCTGTTGTTGGAAAAAATGTTGATGCTACATCTGTCGTTGTACGTTGATGTAATTGATGCTGTTTTTGGTGTGGATATTGTTGTTGATGATGTTGTTTGTGATGTTGTTGTTGATGTTGTTGATGCTGTTGACTTACGTTACTGTGACGCCTAATGTTTTCAGGTTTCTTCAAGTTATTTTTTGCAAATAAGATGCTGTCTATGCTAATTACTTGAGATTTCGGCTGCTGATTTTGTGTCGATGAAGTTGTTGTTTCTGGTGTTTTTGCAGATGGTGATGATGATAATTGTTGAAAAAATGTTGATGTTGATGGTAGCAATTGTAGTTGGTGTTGCTGAATTACATTTTGTTGTTGTGGTAGCTGTAGTCGATTGTCTGGATGTTTTTGTTGACGTCGATGCGATTGTGGCGGTTGTTGTTGCGGTTGCTGTTGCAGTTTTTGAGGTTGTTGTTGTTGTCTATATTGTTGTAAATAAGGATTATTAGGTTGATGTTGTTGTAGTTGTTCGTGACGGATTCTACCCCGAATCATGCTTTCAAACATCTCATTCCTCTCCGACACAGACTGCAACTTAATTGAGTCAATCGATAGAGGGTCACCTTCTTTTTCAACATTCATTTTTGTTGCATCAACACTTTTTGTTTTTTCTGCAACATGTTTACCATTTGATACAACAGTTAAATTTGTTGCTAGAACATTTTCGTTGCTAATAATAGCTGCTGCTGTTGTTGTGGGCGATGAACTGAATGAGTTGGATAAATTATTCAAGCTCGATTTCGTATCGGCTAAGCCGTTGGATGTAACCGACACAACGCTTGTACTTTTTGAAGTAACATTTGCACTCGTTGTAGTAACATGCGCACTCGTTTCAAGTGCGCGAGTACTAGCTTCCGGTACACGTGTACTGACGGCCCCAACATTAACATACGTTGGAGTAGCGTTAATTTTAGTTGCTGTAACTTTATTTAATGGAATCGCCATTATATTCTCACCTGAATAGTTTTCACCGCCATCTGCAGTATCACCTGTTACGTTAATTATTGTTACACTTCTACCTGTACTGAAAAATGGTAGTACTGATTTTGTAGTAACAGCGGTAGTAGGAAAAGCAGTATTTGCAGTTGTATTGTGTGTAGTAGTGGTAGTTGTAGTAGTGGTAGTTGTAGTAGTGGTAGTAGTAGTTGTAGTAGTGGTAGTTGTAGCAGTGGCAGTTGTAGCAGTGGCAGTTGTGGTATTGGTAGTTGTGGTATTGGTAGTTGTGTTATTGGTAGTTGTGTTATTGGTAGTTGTGTTATTGGTAGTTGTGTTATTGGTAGTTGTAGCAGTGGCAGTTGTGGTATTGGTAGTTGTGGTAGTGGTAGTTGTAGTAGTGGTAAATGTAGTAGCGACAGATTTATTTCGGTTAGAAGTAATAGCGATTGTTGGTGAAGCCGCTGATGTCCGAATTGTTGTCGTCATTTTTGTTTCCGATGACGCCGTCGTTGGTTGTTCACTTTTCATTATCTTTGTATTGTTCATTATCACTGAAGATGACGTCACAGAAAAAAATAATGCATCACTCATTATCATTGAAGATGACGTCACAGAAGGATATGACGTATCATTTATTATCACTGAAGATGACGTCACAGAGGAAAATAACGCATCACTCATTATCATTGAAGGTGACATCACAGAAAGATATGACGTATCATTTATTACCATTGAAGATGACGTCACAGAAGGAAATGACGAAAAAGTGTCAATATCTGTGCCTATTGAAACAATGGTATTTAAAAGTTTACGTGCTGACGGGCTGAATTTTTCATTTGTTGATGATGTGGTTGTTGTAATTGTTGTTGGTGACGATGGCGGATGTGACAATGATTGTGATGATGATGATATCTGAGGCAGTGATGATGACGATGAGCATGTTGTTGTTGTTGTTGATGATGATGATGATGATGATGATGATGAAGAAACCGGCATGGATAGAATTGCAGGTAATGGTTCTGTTGGTAATGATGGTGATAATGTTGATTGTGATGGCGAGATTGATGGCGATGATGTCACGGTTGTAAGCGTTGTGAATGCTGTTGATGTCAGTTTTGCAATTGCAGTTACTGCTATTGTTCGCGATATTGAATCTTTTATTGTTGGCCGAGGTGATTGTTTTGACGGTGATGACGGTTGTGATAATGATGTTGACAACGTAGTAGTAGTAGTAGTAGTAGTAGTAGTAGTAGTAGTAGTCGTAGTGGTAGTAGCAGTGGTAGCAGTAGTAGTAGCTGTTGTGGTTGTGTTGTTTGAGTCAGTTTGTTTGTCGACGGGATTTTCTTTGTTATCTTTCCTCATCCATTTCTGAAATAAATTTTTTATTCTGCCGGGTTTATTTTTTTGTTGTTGTTTTGGTTGTTGT